ATATATATATGTCGCAGAATCAACAAAGATGCACAACTATCGAGTATCGTTATTTTAGAACAACGCCATCTGTTATCATTTGTCGGAAACGTCAAGCAGTGTGCTTGGGTGATGGTCGGTACGGGGCGTGGCATGTTGGCATTTGAAAGGCGTCACTTTTGAGTTGGACACGAGGGTGAGCGGTTGTTCGGCCAGCCCGTACCGAACTTACCGCGTTTCCGAAGGTAATCTGTTTCCATCGCTTTAATCAATTAAGATTTTGTTAATTTATTATTGGGAATGTGTTAATAGACGATTATAATCAGTGTTGAGACTATTATTTCTTACCTACACCATGTCTAACTTGGAATCCGATGACGAAGTACCCCCAATTTGTGCATTTTCTCCGACATATATATATATATATAACTGTTCAGCAACACAACTCAATCCCGTATATCCCAACACTGTATTTTAATGTTCCAACTTGGTACAAACTTATAAGTTATAATCTGTTTTATTCCCTCCGGCCTGTTATCACAAGTATATAGTTTATTAGACTATAGTTTATTGTTTATTTTGTTTGGGAATAGTTATCAGTTTTTGTATAATATATTGTATAATGGTAAGTGTTATGTCAGGGTGGGCCGGAGGTTTAAGACGCTCGCTTCTCGTGCCGGGCGCGGACTCGAAACCTCCCAACTGCAAATACCAATGTTACTATCTCCGAGTTATATGTAGTTTCTAAGATTATTCAAACACTGACAAACGGTAAGGAAAACATCGTGAGGAAACCGCGGCTTATAATTTCTAACTATAAGTTTGAAATCGCCAACCCGCATTGAGCTAGCGTGGTGGTTAATGCTCAAACGTTCTCCGTGTGAGAAGAGGCCTTTGGTCAGCCGTAGGCACTTATAGGCTATTGATGATGATGATGACAATTTTCAGTGAGGAAAAGTGAAATATAATATTTGTCCTAACCCCTTCTCTTCGCTCGGGTGTCGGCTGCAAAATGTATGAATCGATTCTCTTCCCACTAAAGCAGTAAAACAAAATCGATCTAAAATGACAGAAACTATCTTCGTCTAATGTTAAAACGTGATCTTTTTTTTGAGGGGGGAAAATCATCCAATGACTTCTACCGCTTGGGTGAGGTGAAAGGGAGTGTCAGACTCTTACTGACTAAAAACCACCCCGTTCCTACTCCTGCACTTCGAGCCGGAGCTCCGGCAACCCGTTAAGTCTTCCGCGGCTCCGTATCGGCATCAGTCCTGTTAGGCCCCATCTGTGGTGGTTTGATGGCTCCTTGAGGCGCGCGCTGAACGCGACGCGCCGTACGCTCGGGCCTGGTTCTGGTTGGGCGGCGAGGCACCCGTGCTCGCCGTGCGCAGGCCCATGCATGATCTTAATCTAAAGGTTTTGTATTGAAGACGCATTTTTGAATATCTTCTCATCAATCTTCTGAAAATCAGTGTTGGGTGCTCATTGTGCCCAGCTTTTTGCTGAGATAGCAAACCGTTCGGATTGGGCATGTCCGCCAACACCGCGTAGTACCCGTTATTATTAGCTTATTTTAGTTTTTACTAGCGACCCGCCCCGGCTTCGCACGGGTGCAATATGCATTTATAATATATATAAACCTCTGTTAAGAATCATTCTATCTAATAAAAAACCGTATCAAAATCCGTTGCGTAGTTTTAAAGATCTAAGCATATAGGGACAGACAGACGGCGGATAGCGATTTTGTTCTATACTAGAAGTAGGTGTGTAGTGATTGATAGCGATAATGTAGCTAATTATCTTCTTATTTTTTTTTTCTTTCTCTCTCTCTCTCTGTTTTTAAACCTTTTTATTGTTATTTGTTAAAATTTATGTATTTTTTTTTTGGTCCTGGCGTGCATGTCTTATGCCGAATAAACGTATTTCATGTCATAATCATCAGTTTTCAATCATGAAGTGCACATTACGGCACTTAATGCCACTGTACAATGTAACACCAACTTCCCACTATTTATGTTATGAGTCCCATGTAATAGGGAGTCAGCCTGTTGCCATATACCGGGCACAATTCCAAACTCCGTGCTACTATTGAGATTTTTTTAATCCCAGTAATATTTTGCTCGACCCGGGAATCGAATTTTTGACTTTGACTAATAAAAATAATAAAACACCACACAATTTCAATCAAAACATATAATATTTATTTAATACAATACATATTAGTTATTAACACCAACAGAAAACAAATAAATTAATCAATAAACCCACGGCGCGCAACCGCAAGAATTAATTGGAGAAATTACAGAATTAATGGGGGCTAGCATTGGGTTGACCGGGGCTAACATTGGATTATATTGGGCCATCATTCCATAATCACTCAAACCTAAACCTGGGATAATCACGTCTGGGGACGCAGATGGCAGAGTATTGGATAGTAAATTGCTTACAACAAGGAGCTGTAAAGCATTAGCCAGATTATTAGCTACTGAACTATCCTGGATAATAGTTGTAGCTGGAATAGACAATTGGTTGGGTACGATAGCCTCCACTCCATAAGGTAAGTCGACCATTTGTGGATAATTCTGTCCAATTATGACCTGGTTTTGCAGTAGTGTGTCGGGAACTTGAACGGGCATTGGAAGTATGTTCTGTCCACATCCAGGGACGATGCGGTTCAGGCATTGCGCGGAGATGGTCTGTGAAAATAAGGGCAAAACATTGTTAAGAAATTTTTAAAGTTGTTCGTTGTATAGTGATTTTTTTTAAACTTTTCCCCACATTTGGATTTTCTCCTGTGTCGTGGGTGCGTTTACAAATACAAGTTCACATACACATGACACCCAGACCCGGAACAATAATCTGTGGATCACACAAAGAGTTGCTCCGTGCGGGACCTGCACCACATTGCGTGGCAGCCGGTTGCCCGCACCGCACTAACCGGGTTGTCGTTGTTCAATTGAATTTGAAAAGTCGGTTACTTGTATACTAAAAGAGGTAGAATTGATATTTTTAAAATTAAAGGCTCTGAGTGGCCTTTATTCAGTCATAAATTGCTTGCAATTTTACACCAAGCTAAATACCTAACTGGCGAACATGTTAAATGTAACCACTAGTATCACATTTCATATGTTGTTCTCTCTTGTAAAATAAAGGGGTCATGGAATTCGCTGAGAATCTTAGTTTTTTAATAACTTTCGTGAGACATACTAAATATATTATTATGTTTTCGGCTTACTCACGTAATAATAATTTGACGAGGAACTCGACTGGTGTCAGTAGCAACGCGACAGTCGCCGCGTCGCTGGTCGCGAAATGCTGCTCATGAATATGAGCCTCTAGCATGACTTAAAACTACTCAAGTTCCTCGTCAAATTATTACGTGAGTAAGTCGAAAATATAATACTTACTTTATTTAGTTTTGTAATATTAAAACAATATTATTACTTACATTGAACAAAGCCAACTGAAGGCAGACCAAAGCAATGATTTTTCCAGTCATTTTTGATGTTTACAATAACTTCAAGTAATGAATACTGTAATATTTTCTCAAAAAAACATACTTTATATACTTAATTATTATCTAAAGTTAGTAATAACTTATCAAGTTATTGATACAGATGGTATTTCGTAAGTAATATTGGATAATCAATATTTCAAATCGGTGATAATGGCCGTGTAGAATACTTTCTGTCACCACTTTTTGCGGTGTCGTAAGAGCCGACTATGGGACTACACAATTCGATAAAGACTAGGCAGCAGGGCTTTCTGGTAAAACCTGAATCCTGATGCAATTAGTGGCACATCAAGGAGAATTCTTCTTAAAAAAAAAAACGTTGCCCCACACTAGGATTTTCTCCTGTGTCGTGGGTGCGTTTTCAAACATACAATATCACATACACAATGACACCCAGACTCGGAACAACAATCTGTGGATCACACAAAGAGTTACTCCGTGCGGGAATCGAACCCGCTAAACGTTGCGCGGCAGCCGGTTGTCGAGCCAGCGCACCAATCGTCGCCCAATCTGCCTAGTTGGCACCGGAGACTTATTAAATCTAAACAGCACCTGGAACGATCTCCAGCTACCGTAAGTACGGGTCTGCGGAGGCGACATTGGGTAATTCGCCGCCCGATCAGAACCACACCCAAGCGTACGAGGCGTCGCTCCGCGGGCGCCTCAAAGAGCAAATCAGACCACCACAGATGGGACCGGGACTCCAGCTCGAAGTGCAGGAGTAGGAACGGGGTAGTTTTAGTCAGTAAGAGTCTGACACTCCCTCCTGCCTCACCCAGGCGGGAGAAGTAATGCGATGATTTTCTTCTCTTAAAAAAAACAGCACCCTAGAGAAGTTCCTAATAGGCCCCTAATTGGCATCGCCGTCACTGTATGAGAAGTTGGACACGCGTGTCTCGCGGTACCCCTCTGCGACATAGGTAGCGCCTCTATAGGTAATTAGAAATACCTTAGGGATAAAATGGCTCTGGTTGGTGTATCGGTTGGACATCTGGATGCTGTATCACGGCACGGGTTAGATTAGCGCACAATCGTTAGATTTCAGGTCTGAGGGTGATGTGTACGTACTATGAATTTGTAAGTCTCTTTTTTATATTTGATGGGCCGATATATTTATTTATTTATTTATTAAGGTCAGCCAACGACTGTTTGCACATCATATTACAACAAATCGGTTTACAATATGCATTTGATAGTGTAACAATCAATTAAAGGCTAACACATCATGCACAATATTTGGCCACTATCTCGCCTGGTGGTAAACGATGATGCGGTCTACGATGGAGCACGTCGTCCCATAAGCAACCTATTCACTCGGGCCTTGAAGACACCCAGGTTACAATTTCAGGAAACACAGACTCTGGGAAAGTCCACTGCTTAGTCGTGCGCGTGGGTGGAACATCTACCACAAATCGGTAATCACATACAAGGTAGAAAGAAGAAAGAAAGAAAAGACATTTATTTTTGCGCAAAACACACATAACATATTTAAAAAATAAAAAAGAAAATAAAAAAAAGATAAAAAATTTAAATGAAGTGAGATCCTGGATCCTGTCCATGGTCCACAGACTTATTATTTTACTGAAATGATAGAATATTTAATATCTAATATTATCTGTGGACCATAGACAAGGAAACACCCTACTTACTTCATATATAATAATAATTTCTAGTGCATGCATTTATTAAAATTGTTAAATTGGATAAAGGAGTATTAAAAAGTTATAAGTACTTGATGCTAGTGTAACCCATTGCCCTAATATTGTGCGTCATGTATGCGTGCGCAAAAACAAGATAATGCTCAGCAATTTCTGCGACTTAAACCTCAAGAGGTTAGCGTCGCAGCGCTGATTTTCAGCACATCTTTGGGTGACGTAATGGCGTCCCGCCAGCTTCACTAATCGCCAGCGAACAAGAATGCAAAACAACAAAACAACGAATGAGTGCAGACCATGATTCACTTAACTTGGTAAATGTAGTGACGTGAATTGTTGCTGTAAAGGTAAAGGAGAAATGATTAATGTAAAGCGTATAAAAAATTAAATGCGAAACAATCTATTAAATCCTTGGTCTATAAATTATACATATTAGTTTGCGCTACAAAAATGTGAAGTTTACAGTTACAGTTTTGATGGAATTAGTACTTTAGTGACATCTATGGGTAATTCTCATGTAATTCTAATAATGATTAGACAAGTACGACCTTCGGAATAGAAACATGATTATATTACGAGCGCCATCTATTATAGGGATCTGGCATCTATGGAAGTGAACTTTTTTTTTGAGAGGTAGGTATTTTAATGAGGAAAAATTTGAGTATGCGTACTTACATTAATATTTATGGCACCATGTTGGTTGAGTGACCGCTAGCGAGACTACTGCAGTAGAGGATTTCCGGGTTGAGCACGTTGTACGGTTCTCAGAAATTATTAATAGGGATCTAGTGTTTGGGGTTTGGTGCGATTGGAATAACGCTACTTATTGCCAGATAGATGTAGCAAGTTCTACAAATATCATGCCTGTTATAGAGAGTCAACAAAAATATGGTTATTATTTTTGTACTATAGCCTGTTATAGAACAGATCAAATGCAGAATTTTAACAATAGGCTCCCTATTAACCCTTTTGAGTGCAGAATTTTATAAAAAAACTAGCGACCCGCCCCGGCTTCGCACGGGTGCAATATGCATGTATTATACATACAAACCTTCCTTAAGAATCACTCTATCTATTAAAAAAAACCGCATCAAAATCCGTTGCGTAGTTTTAAATATCTAAGCATACATACGGACATACAGCGAAAGCGACTTTGTTTTATACTATGTATTGAAGAAACCACAACCACTATTAACAAAGCACTTTATTTTATACATATAAACCTTTTAGAAATGATACTGAAACGTTTTGATTTTCGACCAGCCGTTACCGTTGCCAGGACTGAAGAATGACGTCAAGCTAGGAGAGAGGTTCCACGTCATTGGTCTGAAGAACCATGGCCCAGGACTCGGCAACGCTGGGTGTATAAATGGTGCTGGAACATAAAGATACAATAACTAAGTTTTCACCCTCTTAGGGTTATTCTTCCATCAACAGATAATTCTTACCTGTAGAATAAAATTGATATTTGACAGTTATAAGTATAGAAGAATTGACAAATATTCAAAGTTATTCTCTCGATAAAATGTAACTGGCGTTGCGAAAATCGGCCCTTAGTAGGTTCTCTTTCGATTATTATTTAAGAATCATTTTATCGAAATTCGTTTAATACGTTTTCAGACTGTCATAAATAAATGAATAAACGGACACGGCATTGGGGAATTTCCTATACGTCCACATGTAATGAATACCGATATCCGCGAGCATCTTAAATACTATAAGTAAAGTTTACGTCTTTCATGGGATTTTCTGATGTGATGTGATGTGGATGCACCTTAAACACTAATTGCTTATGACAATTGTTTTTAAAAATAAGTAAAACAGTATTACGTATCTACCCATATACATATCTGGTGTTTTAGGTTTATATAGTGTCTGGTTCTTATTTGATAAATAATAATTTACCTTTTACTCATGTTTTCATTATGATCAAACGACCTACGTAATCACTTCTATACTAAAACAATGATATTATTAATACACACAGATGAAAATGTAAGAATGAAATAGGTAAAGGTTGTATTTAAGAGTATTGAGTGAGTTCAAGCACCAGTGATACCGCAAGGTTTGTCCATTGGCTGTTAGTAGCCATTAATAGAATTGATGTTATTTTGAATTAATTATTATGTTCTCGCCTTACTCACGTAACTGTTTGACGAGGACCTCGACTAGTTTCAAGCCTTTATCCCAAGAAAGTTTTAATATTAAAATATTATTATAGTTGAAATGCTATAAAATTTGGATATGGTAAAGGCTAAAAGTCAATCCATGATTGGTTCGGGACATTAAGCCTTGTTTTTGATAAAAATCTTAAACTGTATAAAAATGGGAGGTAAAAATTAATAAAACTAAAGTCGAAAGTCAGTTTTGGCTTCACAATTTAGATTTGACATGGCCATCAATGTAGTAGTATGATGGATAGTAAAAATGATGAATGTTTTATCGCATTGTAGAAATAGGTGCTAAGAATGGATAAGAGGTAAGTCCATAGTCAGTTTTGGACATTACGCGGTGGGTTCGGTGTGGGTGTTGCCATGCATGACATTGGTCCATTGCGGTAAAGCCCCATGGTTGGCACCCGAGGTTTCAGCTGAAGTGGGTGATGTTGGAACATTTTATGCATATCTGCAATTTTTTAAACATTTTATTATACATGTACATATAACCTTCTTTGTCGTTTGTTCAGATAAGCAAGTGAATGGTTTCCAGTGATTTTTTATAATGTTTTGAGAGCTTCGGTTTGCCATTTACCATTTTTAAACGGTTTTTAGTGGTCTCGTTCATTGAGTGGTCGTATAAAGCGTGAGCATGAGGTCTTAGGTACAACTCCAGGTCAGGTAGCTTGATACATTTTTTTCGGTTTCCAAATAACTCTCATAATTAGGCTACATCCTCTTAAAGTTACATAGTCACGATGTACAAACTTTGTTTCAATGCAGTAGGTCTTTCAGAGATGTGCCGTAACAAGCTTTACATACGTGAATAATAATGGACTAAAGTCCTATTAATGGGGCCTACCGTATTTTTGCTCATCAAATGGCTAGTGTAACGATCTCGTTCTTTATCCAATTGGGAATTAACTAGTGACACGCCTTTACACGTTCTATGTTTGACAGTTTTTTAACGGGGGGAAATCATCGAATGACTTCTTCCGTTTGGAAGAGGCGGGAGGAAGTGTCAGACACTTACTGAGTAAAAACAACCCTGTTTCTACCCCTGACACTTTGAGCCGGAGCTTCGGTAACCCGTTAAGTTCTCCGCGGCTCCGTATCGGCATTAGTCCTATTGGGCCCTATCCAGTGCAAGGCTCTTTGAGGCTGATTATGAATATTATGATGAATATTTGGCAGCAGTTGTGATTTGACAAAGAATCTCTTCCACTTGTGCTATCTGATGAGTAATAATACCGTATCCTATTCTATGAGTCACATTGGAACTCATCATGAGCAGTGTTTGTGGTGGCCAACTCTGTCAGGTAGCTATCCAGAAATAATTTGAATCTAGTATAGCTTTTCTCCAATAGTTCACCCGAGTAAGCCGTACATTTAATTTAATTTAAAAGTTATTTCGATAGTTATCATAAGAAATCTTATTCTATGGTGTTTAGTTATAATATATTGCCTTTATTTAACCGTAGTATGGTGGCGGCGCTCCCGGGTAATAGGGCATTCCCGGAATGTAGTTATATCCAGGAATATAACCTGGATATCCGTATGGATACCACGCTTCGATAGTCTGAAAATAAAAGGTTTAAAATGAATATGCTAGATGGTGATGCTAGCAACCCTTCTCTTTCTATGAAAGACGTAAGAGACAGAAACGGGTAAAGTAACAGAAACTGGGCAACGCTCTCTGATATACTTGAACCTGTTAAAACTGCAATGTTCAACCCGCCTATCATGCCTGAAAGTTAGTTGTAACATAACAAAACGTAACATCACGCCTTTTATCCCTGAAGGGATAGGCAGAGGCGCACATTACGCCACTTAATGCCACTATACAATGTAACACCCACTTTTAACTATTTATGTTATGAGTCCCATGTAATAGGGGGTGAGCGTATTGCCATATACCTGGCACATGTCCAGAGTCCATGCTACTACTGAGATTTTCAAAAACCCAGTAATACTTTGCCCGACCCGGGAATCGAACCCGAGACCCCTTGCCCGGCAGTCGCACTTGCGACCACTCGGCCAACGAGGCAGTCAAGTATTTGGAGTAAAGTAAAGTTATTAGAGAGGCTATGTTTGCAACCGAACCCGTTTCTTTTTGTGAAGAACGTCCAAAGTAAAGCAAGGGACTGATGATAATTAGCTAATAATTAGGTAATAAACTAGTACATGGGATTCATTACTAAATTGGTGAAAGAGGATCATGTTTACCATGAATAATCCCAATAAATTCTCGAGTTACGCTTTGCAACCTTTTTACGCTTTATCTACACAATCAATCATTTTCAAATAAAATTGGGAGTACTGATAAAAGTATAGGCTAACTCATCTAATCAAAACCGTAGCCAACAGCTAATAATTAAGAAAAATAATCTTACCTCAATAAAAGCCATTAGAGCGGCGAGGAGAACAAGAATTCTCAATAGCGCCTCCATTTTCCAAGATGTCTTCCCTTTTCAAAATTATAATGTAACTACCACACCGCGCGATAAGGCGGTTGTTTATAAATACCAAAACCATTTACAATAATCATTGAAAACGAGTTAAATTTAACTAATACATGTAAGTTATTTCACGGTATATAGAAGAACAAGTTTAACAATCACTTAACGGTATTGTTTGATTAATCTTCGATTATTAAATGTTAGTTTTCGATTTGTAGTTCCCAGTTAAATAATAATAACATAAAGTGAGTTTTATTTTATGTAATATAATAATTGTTTTTATGTTTAGCGAGTTATGGTGGCCTAGAACTGAAAGGTTGTTACAAATTCAGAAACGACTAAATCAGATTTTTTTGAAGAAGTTGTTTTAGTATAATCATTTCCATTGTAGTTACATTGACCACATCAGGTGGTTAAATCTTCTTCTTTATCTAATTTCAACCCTTAGTCCTAGTGACAATTAGGGTTGGCACAATACCTGTATTTTTCCATTCTATATATCATTATTATTCACAGACATAAATAAAAGTCAATATTAATAACAACATTTATTATTTTCTAAAACAGAATAAATTACTTTAAATCTAATATTGAAAATATTACAACAACGCCATCTACATTTTGAATCATGAACTAAACTACTAAAACAAATCGTTCATTGAAAACAAGTCCTGATCAGCAAATACAGCATAAGGAGACTGGAAGTCCTGCCGCGGATTCAAAGATCCAAAAGAATACGAATCTGAATATGATTTTACAGGCGCCAATGCTTCGTAAGGCGACATTAACGCTAAGCCATTTCTAGTAGGCTTATAACTCTTTGACAAGCCCTGTTCAGGGTAATTTGAACCTCCGATAAAATTGGAGTTCGGTAAAGATGGTGCCGAACACGGGGGCGCATAAGGACTGTTTTCGCTTGCAGATTTTGCTAATAACGATTCTTTTGGAGGTGGCGAATTTAAAATATTGCTAACTATTAATAATTGTAAGGCTACAGCCAAATTGTTAAGCAATTTAGCATCAACGCTTGATGGTTTTTCTGCTTTAATTTCAGATTTTGGAGCAACCAAATTTGGTAGACCTATCGCGGAGAGCGAAGGCGGAGTGGAGACAGGTCTAGGTTGATTGGACGTTGGTGGCAAGGATTGTTGTAATCTAGAAACCAGATTAGGAAGAGCTAAAGCTGCTAATGTTTGCGGTGAAGGTGGAGGTCTTGGTTGACTGGGTGGACATGGCTGGTTGCTTGGGGCTGGTTGAGGAGCCGGAACAGCAATTGTGTGAGGTTGGGGTAAACCCATTAGCTGGAGATACTGCTGGACTGTTGGTTGAGGGTATGATGATAGCACCTGGAATAATAAATAAAGGTTTAAATACAAACATTGATATATAAGTAGCGAATTAAGGCGCTGGTGGCGCCGTCCGTTCCTTGTGAAAATTATGGGTAAACAATGTAAGTATAATAATAATAATAATTACACAGATGAAAATTTGCGATCATAATCACTTGTGTGACATTATGCAGATTGCTAGAAGAATTTAATTTCAAAAATAACTGTAACTCCTTTAGTTGCTTAGATTGTCCATTTTTTAAGGGGAATATCATCGAATGGCTGATGGCACCAAGAGCCCACCATCAGATGCTGTTTGCCTAGTAAAAATTTAACATAACATCACGCCTTTTATTCCCGAAGCGGTAGGCAGAGGTGCACATTGCGGCACTTAATGCCACTGTACAATGTAACACCCACTTTTCACTGTGTATGTTATGAGTCCCATGTAATAGGGAGTGAGTCTATTGTCATATACCGGGCACAATTCCAGACTCTGTGCTACTACTGAGATTTTTTTTAAAAACCCTGTAATTCTTTTCCTGACCTTGGTATCGAACCCAAGAGCCCTTGCCCGGCAGTCGCACTTGCGACCACTCGGCCAATGATCAGTAATAAAAATCCAATAAAAAATCAAATGAACATACCTTTAAAACAAAACACTGTATCAATAAAAAACAAATGAATACTCGCGCCATTTTGAAAACAGATTAAAGAGAAATAATTAAATGATTGCTAATTTATATCGATTTATCATTGACATGTTCGGAATCTGTTATCTGTGGTCCGTCAGAACGTGATGACAATCTCTTGGTGATGTTCTGAAGATAATATTTTGTGTGATTTATCTTTTTAAGAGCATGATAGAAAAGATTGAATTATTTTGTAATATCTATTAAGGTTCTTAGAAGACCGTTTCAACAATGGTAGAGCGTATAATATGGTAGTTTCCTAAAGTTTATTTTAATGTCAGTCTGGTACATTAATTTAAAACTTTAGACACATATTTTTTCTTTTCTCACAAAATTAAATACTTTCGACGATATATTAATTTGAAATATCGTGTGACGTCACAGCGTGTCATATTTTGTAGCACGTTATGACGTAACGACCTCCCACTCCTAAACTTAGCGCCATTTTATCTAAGTATTGCAACGTAATACGAGAAAATAATAAAAATACGTGTCTAATATTTTTTCATTCAACTGACGGACTAATCAGATTTTTAAATTTGATACCCTGGAAACTACCCAATTATGTCGTGGTGCCCAGGTTTAAGACGCCCACGTCTCGTGTATGAGGGTGCGGGTTCAAAACCTACCAACGGCAAGTACCAATGTGACTTTTTCCGAGTTATATGTACTTTCTAAGATTATTTAGACACCACTGACAAAAGGTTACATAGGACCTATTACCTTGACCTATTACATGGAAGTCATAACATAAATAGTGAAAAGTGGATGTTACATTGTACAGTGGCATAATGTGCACCTCTGCCTATCATACATATCATTACGCCTTTTATTCCCTAAGGAAGGGGTTTCGGGAATAAAAGGCGTGATGAAATGTTATGTTATGAGTTATGACAAACGGTGAAGGAAAACACTGTAAGGAAACCTGGGCTTATTTTTACTAATTATTAGTTTGAAACCGCTAACCTGTATTGAGCAAGAGTGGTGATTAATATTCAAACCTTCTCCATGTGAGAAGAGGCCTTTGATCAGCACTACCAGTACCCACTGCTGTTGGTGGCTGTTAATGATGATGATGAGAGCGTATAATTGATGGATTCGCCACACACTGCGAATGGGTCCCAACCACACAGGCATTGGTATTGAATCTTCAGGGGAAGAGGAAGCCGTCCTCGGCAAACCTGGCGTCGCACAGCGATGGCAGCAGCGGCGAGCATCGAAATAACGTGGAGCGAAATGAAGCTGAAAGTGCAAGATCGATCAAAATGAAGAACCTTTGTGGACGCCCTCTGCGCCATCAACGGGTAATAGGGTCTTAAGTCTATGCCTATAATTGCTTTACGCAACTTAAAAATGTCGGCTCGACCAGACAAGTCATTAAAGACTCTTTCACAGAATACCCGCGTCATGTGGAAACGAAATTTTAGTACTTGCAGACTACGAAGTGTTACTCTCACTGCCCAGTCTGCAAGTACTAAGATTACACTCTACAAGCTTGCTTGAAGAGTTTCAAAAATTACTGTCACTCCTTTGGTGTCGAGAATGTCAATTTTTTTAAGGGGAATATCATCGAATGAATGAATAAGGGCCGGCAACGCACCTGTGACTCTTCTGGTGTTGCGGGTGTCCATGGGCGGCGCTGATCGCTTACCATCAGGTGATCCGTCTGCTCGTTTGCCTCCTATTCCATAAAAAAAAAAAAAAAATGGCTGACAGCACAAAGAGCCTACCATCAGACGCTGTTTTCCTAGTAAAAATCCAACTTAACATAACTCACGCCTATATCCCCGAAGGGGTAAGCAGAGGTGCACATTGCGGCACTTAATGCCACTGTACAATATAACACCCACTTTTCACTATGTATGTTATGAGTCCCATGTAATAGGGGGTGAGCCTATTGCCATATTCCGGGCAGAATCAGACTCCGTGCTACTACTGAGATTTTTTTGAAAAAAACCCAGTAATACTCAACCAAACCCGGGAATCGCACTTGCGACCATTCGGCCAACGAGGCAGTCACTTTGTAATATAATTGTGTATGAAAAGAATATATATTAAATATTAACTAAATAATCCGCAATAACTTCTAAATCAGTTTTAACAAAAACATTCATAATTTATTACGGTCTGCTATCCGGGTCGGAAGATATGAATTTATGATAAACTAGAATTATATTAAATGATTTATGTTTATTGAATTCATGGAATTTAATTCAGGGTTACAGGGCTTGTACACAAAACTGCGATGCGACGTCGCATCGCAAAACTGTGCGAGCGGATCTACGCATCGCGAATCAAAATCTCATCAACTTGCGAATTGATTAGCATCGCGCATCAAAATTTTCTTTGTTTCTTTTTCCTGTACTTATATATGCATTCCTGTATATATGTATATAAGCAATAACAGAAGTGCACACTTCTTTTTACGATCCATGTCACGACCTAGTTTTCAATTTAAAATACGTTTACTACGGTTGATGGTCGTCGAAGGAAAGGTCACTGGGAGACGCCTTGTCGCAGTTGTCGCTCAAAATCTCATCACCGCAATTCGTGTCGTAATTTTCTGCGTTGCGAATTCGCTTCGCATCGCATCGCAGTTCTGTGTACGAGCCCTTATATCTGAAAGGTTAAACAGGGCATTGTGGGTTAGATGGATAATTTGGGATCCTAATCATCGCGTTTGGTAGATGGTTAATACTTTATTTGTGGATGGCTCGACCAAAAAGATCAGGATCACTTGAAGGTACCATACGTACCTACCATACGCAACGCTATTAGAAGCAACAAATGCGTTGGCGACCTTTTTCGAGTTAGGGATTAGAGGATTGGAGTTTTCTGGATTGTGACTGAGTGACGGCATGGTTGGCGTGGTGGCTGGGCAACTGGCTGCCACATAACGTGTCACGGGTTCGATTCCTGCACGGAACAACTCTTTGTGTGATCCACAAGTAGTTTTTTCGTATTTAGGTGAAATTGTATGTTTGTAAACGCACCCACGATACAGGAGAAATACTGTGGGGCAAAGTTTATACAATAAAAAAAAAACACAGAAACTGATTGGGAAGATTGGGGCCGGGAGGAATTGTACTCCTGTAGCCTGCACATAACGCAGGCCTTGCTTCACGACGGTTGTCTGTTGTTTTTGAGATTGCTGTATCACTCCGGTCGAACCGGCCCATTCGTGCCAAAGCATGGCTCGACTCAATTTAACCTGAACTGATTGAACTGATAACAATATAACATAACATAACGCCTTTTTATCCCAAAAGAGGTAGGCAGAGGTGCACATTACGGCACATAATGCCACTGTACAATGTACTGGTACACACCCACTTTTCACTATTTATAACTATAAGTCCCATGTAATAGGGGGTGAGCCTATTGCCATATACCGGGCACATCTCCAGACTCCGTACAACTACTGAGATTTTTAAAAAACCCACTAATACTTTGCCAGACCCGGGAATCGAACCCGAGACCCCTTGCCCGGCAGTCGCACTTGCGACCACACGTTTAATGAGGCAGTCAGACAAATGATAACAATTTACAAAATAATGAATTACTACAAAAAATATAACACTTACATAATAATATTTATTCTACGTAAATCACTATCAGTTGAGTACGTAACAATTTCGGTGTCAATGTGTTAATAATACATTGATTAGTTAATAAAAGTAAATTATTCTGGTATATATATATAAAGATTTATTGTTATATATCAGAGAAAACAAAAATGGCTTCCAGGCTACTATTCTTTTGCGCAGTTTTAGTTTGTACGGTAAGATTTTGCATACTACCACTAACATGACAAACTGTATATTGATCACAGAGTAGAATTCATTTATCAATCACCACCGCTACTCTTCCCGCGGGTGTCGTATACCCGATAAGGGACTACACATTTGACAGAGACCGGGCAGCAGCGCTCTCTGATAATCGTTTCATACTGCCAGACGTGGAAATTACGGCAAACCCTCTTATGAAGATCATAATTTATACCTATACTATATCCTCATAGTATATATCAGTGATTCAATATTAGCATGTTTATGAACAATGATTTTAATAGATATATTTTCCTTCTTTCAGACGTCAGCCCAATTTCTGCCGTCACGGATTCAGCCACCACTATGTAATCAATTACCAAAGATCTGCAACTCACCTCCCAAGATCTGCGACTCACCGCCACGGATCTGTGATCCACCAAGATTGATAAACCAACCACCGCAGATATGTGACTCACCACCACGAATTCTGAACCCAGCTACACAGATTTGTGATCCGCCTACAAGACTATTTAACCCACCTTCACTTTGCGATCAACCTCCACGTCTGTTTAATCCGCCACAAATATGTGAGTCACCGCCTCGAATCTGCGACTCACCGCCTCTTATTTACAACCCACCTCAAATATGCGATTTGCCACCAAGGATCTGTGACCAACAACCACGTATCTTGAACCAACTTCCCCAAGTCTGTGATTCACCACCTCGTCTAATTAATCCACCGCAGATTTTAAATCCGCTACCATGTGACCCACCACTACAGATCTGCAACTCACCTACGAAAATCTGCAACTCGGAAACCCAAGTAATAGTCGACAATTCTCTTTCTACTGCTCTCGCGAATGCCTTGCAAATGTTACTTATGAATAATCTTATTGAGAAATCAATGAAGTTACCCTGTGGATGCGATTCCATTCCTGTCCAAGGTCAAATCTATCCTCCAATAATTGATTATTTAAATCCTCAAGTGGATTATATTAATCCTTATGCTCCTTGTGAGCCTATAATTACTCCATGTGAAGTTATACCTCCGTGTCCATGCGAGCCTGTTGTGGAAATTATACCCAATGTTTATTATCCAGAAATGATGCCAGTACCCAATGTAGGATGCGGGTGTGACCCCAATTTCATAGGCATACCAAATTATGCGTGCGGATGTGACCCCAATTTTATAAGTGTACCTAATTATGGGTGCGGATGTGACTATGGACAGAATTATGGTGTGCCTTATGGATGCGGATGTGAAGTGAGTCCTTATGGTATACCAAATGTGGGTTGCGGATGTGGGACCAAAGTTGGCAAGCAGAATATTGGTGAGCTGTTAGCCGGTGTGTTAGGATCGAGATTTGGTTGTGATGGAGGTTTTTCGCCTTGTGGGTGTTCAAACCTGGATCCTATGAGCCTTTTGGAATCCTTTTTGCCTTGCAATAAATATGGCATGTTTTGATCCGGTATTTTTGTTGGACAAGCATTAGATTTTATGAATCAAGTGATATTTGAATGTAGCTTTTGTTTAAGTATTGTTATGTATTGAAAAATAAATAATAATTCTCAGTAGTAGCACGGAGTCTGGAATTGTGCTCGGTATATGGCAATAGGCTCATCCCCTTTACATGGGACTCATAACATAAATAGTGAATAGTGGGCGTCACATTGTACAATGGCATCTTAATGCCACTGTACAATTCTTAAAGAGGGAAGCAGAGGTGTACATTACGGCACTTATGCCGTAATGTATACCTCTGCCTACCCCTTCACGAATAAAAGGCATGATGTGATATGCAAGTGATTTGTTTAATTTTATTTAACTAGCGTTTGCTACAGATTTCATTTGTCCTGATTATAGCGTGGGGTAGATATTTATTTATTTAAATTTAAATAGTATAAATATGTAGGTACACATAACATAACATCACGCCTTTTACCCCCGAAGAGTGACAAAAGTATTGTATTCCAATGATAAGAAAGGTAAATTTATGTGTTTAATAATATTGTAAATTGTAGTTGATACAGTACATTAAAATAGCGTGTCTTTCCACTTTTTAATATTTATGTAAAAACTAGCTACTTCCGCGCGGTTTCACACGCTCTGCTCAGCTCCTATTGGTCGTAGCATGATGTTTTATAGCCTATAGCTATCCTCGATAAATGCGCTATCCAACACAAAAATAATTATTCAAATCAGACTTGTAGTTACGGAGATTAGCGCGTTCAAACAAACAAACAAAAAAACAACTTCCACTTTACATAATAGTACCTCTATATAAGAGTATAAGATATCATTTGCAATGTTATATAATAATGAATTATATTATGACTTATATGACTTGAAATTGAATTTGTGTGTACCTACCTATCTAAGTATCTAGAGGTATAATTTGGAATATTTTAATAATGTATCGAGTCTGATATGACTAATTGTGTTTTAAATTCTGATTTGTATTTAATTATCGTTAATATTAATTATAATATACAAACTTCAATAAAATAAATACTAACTATAACTAAACATAAAAAAAAAATTTTAATGGGAGATTATCATCGCATGCCTTCTCCCCCCCGGGTAAGGCGGAAGGGAGTGCCAGACTCTTACTGACTAAAAACCACCCCGTTCCTACTCCTGCACTTCGAGGCCAGAGCCCCGGCAACCCGTTAGGTTCTCCTCGACAAATATATACAACTTAAGATAAAAATTAAATAAAAGAAAACTAGAAACAACTATTTACGCATCGAAAAATTCAGTGGGATTCAAAATCGTCAGTGGGAAAAGTACCCAGAAGACTGGCAGCATTGCCGCGTTGTATGGCAATGCTTAACCTCAACCGAGAAAAAAAACCAGCTTTCTGGTCACAAAATGCGATGACCAGCCGTTTCGAAATGTTTTTGAATAATTTAAACGCACTCGTACACCACGGACCTAACGTCTCAACCCAAAACAGCTCAAAGATATAACTACCAGCAAGGTTGTTATACTTGCGCCGCTTGCAGTTTTCTGATGAGGCAGCAGCCGAACCAGCACAACCCGCCGTTACTGGAAGATGAGAAGGTGCATTATTATATGCCTCAACGGAGGGACATAGCTGAACTTATGTTAATTATTTAAGACTTGTATTTATGATGCATACCTATAGTCCACTAAAAGACGATTTGATTTCATTTCACTTGAAGAGGTAGGCACTTGTAGCAATATGTAGTTACCTAAATTAATTATTAGCTCAATCGACAAGTTCTAACCACTATCAGTCTTTGCTAGTTAAGCCCAAATGTTCGACAAAGGTTTCCTTTAAACATAAATTAGTTATACAATAGGAGGAAATAAGACACAAAATGAGGTAAAAAAATAACTTTATTTGTATACTAAAATATAAATTAGTTCTTAAATTATCCTCTAATATTACCTAGCATACTCATTAACGAATTGAGTAAAGCATTTACGTTAGCTGGACTAACTTGAGGTGCATTGGGACATGATGGAGCAACTGCCGTAGGTATAACGCCAGGTGGGATGACGCTTGGCGTAATCATGCTTGGCGTAATCACATTTGGCGGAATTACGCTGGGCAAAATCATATTTTGCGGATTAACGCTAGGTAAAACTATGTTATGCGGATTCATGCTAGGCATAGGGGGAATAACATTGGGATAAAAGCTAGGTGGAATATAATTACTGACAATATTAGATGGAGGACTAGGATTCACAATTTTAGGCATAATCACGTTAGACATAATGACATTATTCGGAGCAGGTGAAGTTAAAACATCGTTCAAAACAGGCATAGTTAATTTGTTAGCAAAATCGGAACTGTATCTGTTTTGCAGTAGATTGCAAACTATCATTAGTTGTATGGTGTTGGCTAGATTCTCGCAGATTGAAGGCGAACAGTCAGTGATTAAGGTAGTTCTAGGAGACGGAATGATGTTAGGGATAGGAATTATGTTCGTGCTAGCCGGCTCCGTTATCACACTGGGCGGTAGGTTGATGAATTTTCCATTTTCTATTATTTGTTCTGCTATTGGCCTTGTGAACTGAGGACGTAGTATTTGTGATGTTGCCAGCTGCAAAAAAAAATTACCATTAATTTTCTATTTTGTACTGTTTTGTTATTTTACCCAATTTTAAATTCCGAAATTTCCAACCCCTTAACACAGTGTTAGAATTATAAAAATAGTAAGATTTTTTAAACAGGTATTTAATGAGCCCACGCGACGTTTGAATAGAAATATTTGTTAGGTATCTATATTAGAAATTATAATAATTTTGTTTAATTTACCTGATTGTGTAAGATCACAGTCGTTAATATTATAACAGCCTTCATTTTTCTTAAAATATTGCCAAAGACTATGAGTATGATTAAGTTTCAGAATTAAATTATATTTATAATGTAATTTCATTGTATTTTACTGTATGGTTATCATAAGCTTCGTGTCTTATCGATTTTTTACTAAAAGATATTAAAATTATAAGAAATGGTAATATAATGATAGTAATAAGTAGGTATTATGAAATGTTATTTCGAGAACAAATTGGTGTAATATTGTCACGATTGCTTGATATGACGGCATAGGTAGATGTACGTTTTTAATGCAACCACTTTCCGTCATTTTTTTTTAATTGAGGTAAATCATCGAATGACTGCTCCTGCCCGGGTGAGGCGAGAGGGAGTGTCAGACTCTTACTGACTAAAAACCACCCCGTTCCTTCTCCTGCGCTTCGAACCGGAACCCCGGTAACCCGTTAGATTCTCCGCGACACTTCCGTCATTTGATTTTATAAGTAAGTTGTAGTTATTAGTGGGCTAGTCAAATTGTTTTTTTAACATTTTCATTTCAAGTTTTTATGATAAATGACTGCCGGGCCAGGGGTCTCGGGTTCGATGCCCGGGTCGGGCAAAGTATTAATGAGTTTTTTTTTAAATTTTCAGTAGTAGGACGGAGTTTGGAATCGTTCCTGGTATATGGCAATAGGCTCACCCCCTATTACATGGGACTCATAACATAAATAGTAAAAAGTGGGTGGTAACATTATACAGTTCCTTAATGTAACACCTCTGCCTACGCCTTCGGGGATTAAAGGCGTGATGTTATGTATGTATATATGGTCCATGTTGAGCTTGAAGATGAAATTAAACACCGCACTATCATTGTCAAATAATTTTGAATAAATAGGTTCAAATTGTGAAATGATAACAACAAAAATAGACAGTCAAATGATTATTTATTTTACAAAACAATAGGTTTGACTAATGGCGCGTATTCCGGGCACACAGGAGCAGCGATAACCAAATCACAGGCTGCCACAGGGAGATAGGCACCAGTTATCACATTATCCACACTTGGACTAAAATATTTTGCAACCAGAGGCAAAGCCGATTGAAAGTAACCCAAACTCCTTGGTAATTCTACCGCCAAAGGAGGCAGAATGAGTTGGTCTTTGCAACAACGGCACTGAGGATTCGGGATGTTGTCTATGGTTTCTAAGATGGCGGGAAACGGTGTTGTCAGTTTAGAAATACATGAGAGTTTTTGGGGACATTGGCATGGGGAGCGGAAGATTGGTATTGCTTGGCCTGATGTTACCTGTAAAAGAAAATTTCAAATATGTCTGTAAGTTTCATTAATGAGGTATAAGTTTAGTGCAACTTTTGAGTAAGGGATTTTTCAGGTCAAGTAGGTACCTATAACATTATTGGTGTTTTTCAAAGTCAAAGGATTTCATAATTTCCTACTTTTGAAATGTCAACAAATACAAAATAAATAATACCTAGTCTGTTGGTCAGTCTGTCAGTGAAGCTAGATGAAGCTACGGCTAGGTGTCTTTTCGTGATTCTTATTCGTATTCTTCTTTACAGAACTTCTGTATCGCAATATTCGCAATAGGCGCACATCCTAGTTTCACATTATTCAAGTACTATTAAATTATACATGAATTTTATTTAAAGGTGTCAAAAGAATAAAATAAATAATGCTATGTTAATGTAACCGAATATTAATTGTCAAGTACACAAAATACTCACGGAACTAAAAAGTACAGCCAACAAAACGATCAAAGTTTTCGCCTCCATAGTGAATGCAACAAAAGCACAAAAAATATTATCGAACTGTTTATATATTTTCAAATACCACTAAATGTCCTAATAAACGAAATCTTTCAACATTGTTCTACGATTATTATTGTTAAGTAATTTTTGACATTAGTAACACTTTTCTATGTATTATGAATATGACATAACTCCTCGCATGTTGCCCCTCGACAGAATAGCTAATGACAATATGTTTTGGAAATTTCTTAATAAAATCAGTGTTCTTCAACTGGAGAACACCCTCTTTTGCAGAAGGCTTATGATAATATCTTGTACCTATCATATACTTTATATACTTATATTGTAGCTCTCTAATTATAATAGTATTAATTAGAAATATTTGCATTAAAAAAACAAGTTAGGTTTTTCTTTTACTTTAGTTTCAAAACACCGAAACTTTACACAAGAATGATAATATTGTGTAAATAACATAACAAAGGGCGATTACTTATTAATGTTACAGATAAAGATTTCATTAACCATGTATATTTTTCAATAAATAACACTAAAATCTGTATTATTATGGTTTTACACTTGTTTAACTGCGTTGAGAATGGCGAAGATAGCGTTGTTAGTTGTCGTAAATTGTCTCCTAATATACAAGGTAAATGTATTTGTTAAAATAATCTTAAATTTATTTTTGTAGCTTTGTAGTTATTGATTGATTTTAAGCTTATTAAAATCTTCACCAACCACTTTATTGGGTATTTACAATGTCATGTTTCTGAGTTTCCGTACCTTATTCTATACACCATTATGAATTTTGCTAACTAAGTTTTGTCATAATAGCATAGTACACAATCATTTTTATTTATCAAACTTTTATATTTTCCACAGATGAGTCACGCCCAGATTATCAATCGAAAATGTCATCACGCACCACCAATACCTATAGCCAATACTCCAAGGCCAATACCAACGCCAACACCGCCAACAAAGCCACCGACATTTGAACGAACACCAAAATGCTATCCCGAAACCGCAATAGCTTATTTTCTACCAGCTCCACCATCACCACCAAAGATAACTGTTTTAAATCCTGACTGCAAAGATTTTCCACTATATTTCAAAAAAAATATCAAAGAGAATAATATTTTCACGGAAATACCGCAAAATAAAGTTTTCCCACCAAAAAGTGAAATGTCAAATCGTGTGCCTTTCGCGCCACCCCCGCCATGTTCGTCTGGGTTGCCAGATTTAATAGATGACATTCCTAATAAAATACAAAATAGATTTAGTCGATTAGCGGACACAGAGGAAGATACTCCTGTTTGTGAATCTTGTGCTGCGTTATTAAAGAAACTACCAATTTTTAATTTTGATCAAGAACTATTAGGTGGATTTTTAGCTGGCATAGGAATTAAGGCTTAATTGTATCATGTTTATTTTATTGTTTTAATAAAGTATTTATGGAAAACTGACATTTATTACCACTAAATCTGGGATTACCTGATTAGAAAGTAACTGAAAAAACAAGATTCCATTGCGTAATAAAGTACAAAAAATGTCTTGCTGTCAAATGTCAAACGTCAAATTCCCAACTTGTAGATAGCGGCTGCGGCTGTCATTCTACACGATTATTGTAAAATTACAAATTTTCAGCAAATTATTGTATTTTTGTGAGTGAAACGCATCAAAATGGTTGAGGCACAGAAGTTTAGGATTGAGCAGGAGATGACAAACCTTGTCAATGAATTGGACAAGAGTTATTTACGGAAAATGCAAGTAAGTGAGGTTATGTTCCCGATAGCATGCAATACTTACGCAATAATGTATGCAAAATTGCAGATAGATAAATGGCAATTAGTACGACTTTAATAAGTTATTAATCACTATAATTTAAATTAAAATCTCATATGAAGAAATATACATCAGTGTTAATTCTTTAACCTGTCAAAATATAGGTTTTAAAAAAGTAAACACCAGGTCAAGGATACCTTTTCATCCTTATTTTTTATTAAGTTTTCACAGATTCAAAATGAAGGAATGTTGTGTATTATTCAGGCTTATAATTTCAGCTAGGCCTTACCTACATACCAATACCTACTACTAAGTTTTTAATTCTAATAGGCTCTATGAGAACCAATCCTAGAATGCCAACCATTATTATAATTACTCTGTATACATATTGTAATTATCCCCTAACTTATTTATAGTTTCTTAAATGGCCCTTCTAACAAAGATAGAATTTCTCACACAGATTGGATTGCATCATCCACATAATGCAGCAATAAAAATATTGATAGCAATTCTTTCTAATTTCACCTATTATTAATTGTTTTTAATTATATTATAACTTTCGTGAGACATACTAAATAAATTATTATATTTTTGGCTTACTCATATAATTATTTGACAACGCGAAATGCTGCTCATGAATATGAGCCTCTAGCATTGCTTGAAACAAGTTGAGTTCCTCATCAAATAATTACGTGAGTAAGCCGAAAACATAATAATTTATTTTTTTCTTCATAAAGTCAAAACCATTTATTTTAATTAGACCAGTTTTGATCATAACTGCTTGCATGTATGAAATTAATTAGGAGAGTTATATAGATCAATTTTTATACGGTTTTGTTTAGATTAGGCAACCTTCTCGCAACCCAACCAGCTGATGCCTTTCTTGCCCTATGTTTAATAAGAAATGACATGGCTGTCATGGTTCGATGTCGCCTCTACACCCTTTTTTTTTTGTATGTTTGAGTCAAATTTAGTAATCCGAGTTTTACTTGCTACCCAACGAGATTTAATTGTACACACTCTTAATTTTGATGTCCATACGATCTTGGTTGGCAGAATAGAGCTTATTGATATGTTAATGTATCGTACAGAAAATCCCTAAAATTTATTCATACAAAGGTAATCTCTGAACATCAGAACTAAGGTCTATAATAAAGTTAGTGTAGAGCGGTTACCAGTAACCGCTTGGGAATTGAACAGGACAACTGCTTAACATAAAAATATTTTTTAAACCTACTTTTTATTCTTTGACTACACTGCCAATTTATTATAATTTTGTATTTCTTTCTTTTCAGGGTGACATGCACAGATGTGCAGCGAAATGTTGTGATGACCCCCAGACCTCATTAGAGCGTGTGCATGGATGCATTGAGAACTGTACTAGTTCACTAAACCAAGCTAATAATTATGTCCAGGTAATCTATTTTAGGTACTTCCGTTAAATCGTTCCCTGTTTCCTAAACTAGCTCATTTTCCACTGATGGTTAGTAATAGGCGTCGCCTGGAACAACAGGAACATCAGAGGCGTTACAAGGGTGTTACCGGCCTTTAGGGATTTAGTAAGAAAAAAGAAACCCATTTATTCGACAGTATAGACTAGGTATTTGAAGATTGTTGGGGATTCAGGGATTAGGGTGATTGGAGAGGGGGAAGTAAATCAGGCCTCCGGTAACCTCACTCACATAACTAAACAACGCAAGTGTTGTTTCACGTCGGTTTTCTGTGAGGTTGTGTTATCACTCCGGTCAAGCCGGTCCATTCGTGCTGAAACATGGCTCTCCCTCACTCTTGCCGAAAACAGGGATATTACTGAAAATCAATATACATCTAGAAGAACATAATATAACGACTTTTATCCCTGAAGGGATAGGCAGAGGTGCACACTACAGGCACCTCATTAGGTGCCTGAGAAGTGAGTGTTATATTGTACAGCGGCATTACAATACAATATAACACTCACTTCTCACTATTTAATAAGTTATGAATCTTATGTAATAGGGGGTGAGCCTCTATTGCCATATACCGGGCACTATTCCAAACACTGTGCTACTACTGAGAATTGTTTTAAAAAAGATTGACTGATAGACTGTTCACAATTTTTAGAAAAGCTAATGTTTTATGTTTGTATCCACAGGGAGAGATCAATCACTTGCAAAATCGGCTACAAAGATGTGTAATGGACTGCAATGATCATGCGAGAGACAGATTGGGACCTGATCCTAGTCAGGAGACGGTATGTACATTTTTTCTATAGAGACCTTAAAAATTATTATCATATTTATTCACTAGATATATATCATTCGAAAATATCGGAAATAAGGTCTATAATAGATTAAGTAGAGAGCAGTCACCGGTGACTTCACTGCGAGGATCGCCCGGAGGACACGGTGGAGCATACGGTGGTGGTGTGTCCTGCGTGGACTGAGCACCGCCGTGTCCTCAGGAATGTGATCGGCGACGGCGACCTCTCGCATCCGGCTCTGATTCAGACCATGATACGGAGCGAGGGGGACTGGGATGCCGTCTCCTCCTTTTGCGAAGCAGTCATGCTAGCTAAGGAGGAGGCAGAGCGCGTGAGGGAATGAACCTCCTCACGACTCGGCTGTCCCTCACGACTCGGCTGTCGCGAGAGACACTCCGGGCGTCGGGGATCGCGAGACGATGTCTGGCCACCGTAAGCACGGGCCTGCGGACGGCGAGCACGGGTGACTCGCCGCCCGACCAGAACCAGGCCCGAGCGTACGGCGCGTAGCGTTCCGCGCGCGCCTCAAGGAGCCATCAGACCACCACAGATGGGGCCTAACAGGGCTGATGCCGATACGGAGCCGCGGAAGACTTAACGGGTTGCCGGGGCTCCGGCTCGAAGTGCAGGAGTAGGAACGGGGTGGCTTTTAGTCAGTAAGAGTCTGACACTCCCTCCCGCCTCACCCGGGCGGGAGAAGTAATTAGATGATTTTCCCCCCTCAAAAAAAAAAAAGTCACCGGTGACTGCTTTGGCAGTTATCATACAAATAATTTGTCTGTGTGGAATTACCAGTAAAACAATATGCAGCAGTTGTTAACTCGCTGACTCTGCTAATGGTCAATTGAATTTGATTAGAATACTAATTTAAATGCAATTCATTTTATTAATGTTTGCTGACATTATGTCTACAACTTTTGTGCTGACTAAAGTTTTGACCTAAGCAAAGGCATTATGTCACCTGCAGCTGTAGCCAAATGCAATTTAGCGCTTGTCTACATGTAGAATAGAAACTTTAAGGAATTGACGTTAATTTTGACACTTGCCAGTATCATCCCCATACATTTTGATTTCTACTCTCTCTGTAGACAAGTGCTAAAGTGGCGTTTGGCTAAAGGCCCTGAGTTGCCTGAATTACTTATTGTGTCATTTATTGAGCTGTCTGTTTTTAGTGCTGATGATGTTTATAAAAGCACCAACGACACTGAAAAAATCGTAGTGTAGTGTCGATTTACCTACCCACATTAAAACCCGATATTTATTAAGGCTGGTCTAAATATATTTAAATTAATTAAATTTTACAGATAGACAAATGCACGATTGAATTCGAGAAATGCGCCGTAAAATGTGTTGACAAGCACATTGCAATCATTCCCAGTATGCTGAAGACGATGAAGGCAGTTTTAGCCAGCGGGAAGCCTCCACCACCGAAGGCCAACTAAGAAGACCTCTGTAGATTAGTGTTATGTTCGTTACAAAAGGTCAATGTAGAACAAGTTAGGTTGGCTAGTTTGTTTATGAGTCTGTCTCACTGTTAGTCACAAGCCTCTTCTCAAACGGAGAAGGTTTATTAATCGCCACCCTTGCTGAAGGCGTTTTGGCGATTTCTATTGGTATAAATAAAATAATTGGCAGATTGTACATTACAAATAATTAGTTTTCTATGAGTACTTATCATTCTGCGTACCCCTCAGGGAGTGATGTTGTAATTATGTATGTAATTATGTTTATTGTTACATTTTTTTCTGTTACAAATCTGTTTAAAACATTTTTTGTTGTTTTATTGACTCTAAACTATTTCTTTTCTTAAAAAGAAATAGTTTTCTAAACTATAAGTTATATACTATATTCTTTATAACAATGAACTATTATTAACCTTTTGAGCGCCATGGTCACAAATACGTGACAAGCGAAAACTGTCCCTGAGCGCCAACGACACAAATATGTGACAAAAACAGCGGTACATTAAAACACGAAATAAACTATTTAAACATTACTTTAATGCCTATTTATTTATATACCTGTAAAATAGAAGGTCCAAAATTTATTTATTTCCATAAAACTAATTAAATTGCATTATAAATATTGAGAAATTTTACGTTAAAAAGAAAGAAATAAACTCTGAAAAAAGAATGTCCTCACACGCCAGAGTCATAAATGCGTGACCGCTAGTGATGTAGCGCATGTTGGATAATATCATTATTTTAAATCAAAGATCGATGCGAAACTTTCCTCTGGAATATATTATTTTAGGTATAATTTGGTACTAGGATAAAGCAGCATTAATTTTATAAAACCAGTCTTAAAAATCATTCAATAAGCTACATAGTCAAAAATAAAATTTGGTTGGGTCGAATTTCGATATTCACTAATCCCAACTCGAGCGCATCCCTAACGCAACCCGAATTATCAGTACCCTGTACGCCATGGTCACGACTAGACGACAATATCGTGACGTCACAAGCGCGGCGACCAGAAATTAGTGAAGTGAATGAATAATATTTATGATTAATTTACTTGTGATATCGAGTTCAGAGTTCAGAATGCAGGTTGCATTGTAGATTTTGTATAATTTTGCTCTATTATTCAAAAGATTTATTAGTATAAGACTGATTGGTAATTGTGATAATTATATATAATCGTTAATTGTTTTAATTTGTTACTTTTTATGCCAGGTTTATAGAACTTAATATTTAAAAACATGTATACATAGTACATACTGTATAACATTTTATTAAAATTTTCTATTTTTTCATAGTTTTTATTTACCTTCTTAACCTATTTCAATCATATATTTTTAAGTACCTGTTACATTCGGAATTATAAATCTGATTTAAAAAACGTGTTTCATTTATTATAAAATAATATTGTACTAGAACATCGATAAACGAGATATTACGTTGCCACATCCTTATTTCGGAAGCGAAGTAGTTATTAAAATGGCGGGCCGTCCACGCCATGGTCACAATATGAAGACAGCAGTGTTGTACCTACAGTTATTATATTTAAATATATTGTAGTCTCATATCTGTTATTACGGTATTATACAAGTCTGTAAATAGTGTATAACTATTACTTTAATAGGAAGAAATGTAATGTTGAATTAAATTTCAATGTTATAAGGACATTATATTTCGAAATTAAAGACGAAAATGAAAATAAAATTGATTATCGATGAAGTTTTGGAATCCCTATTTTTTTCGTAGGTATTTGCGGTGAATTTGTGGCCTGGCGTTGAGGGCAAGTTCATGCGTTTTTGCTCTGGCGTTCAAAAGGTTAA